TCTCTAAGGAAAAAGGAGTTCCCTAAGTAGGAAAACCTAGGTCTTATATAGACCTCTAAAAGAGTAAGTATTATAATTCCTAAAGTAAGGTAGCTTTAATAATAATAAAAAGACTATTATAAATACGTATATGATTTACTTTTTATTAAAGTTAATTTAATAGCTAACTTTTTAAAGTATTTTTAATAACAATTTAAAAACTTTAAATTATTAATTTTAGCTATAAATTTATAATAATTTTATTAATCTATATTATAGATAAATATAATATTATAGTAAAAAGCGGGGTATTTTTATAAGTTAGTATAAAATTATACCCTTTAGACTGTCTAGGGGATAATATATAAGTAATATAACCTTTTTCCTAGTTAGCTGCCCTTCTTAACAGTTTCCAGATAGATGAGAATATGACTAGAAATATTATTCTTGTTTTACATTTAACTTGATTATGTTATGAGTCTACGCAGCTGAGCAGGTCTAGGTGTATCTCTTTAGTCTCTACTCGTTCTCCTTTTGTCACTATCTCTTTGTCACCACGGCATTCTACTTACATTACTGTATTGTACCTCCAGCCCATATGCCCTTTACTCACCTATAACCGTAGGGTTTCAATTAGGGCCGAACTTCACGAACGTCCGAGTCTTTAATGCAACAATCCGCCACCAAACGCTATCCTTCCCTCACCGACCGGTACACCTTTCGGTGCAGTGCACATACGATATCATATTTCCCTCTCGGGTCTACAGAATCATTTCTATGTCCATTGACCACGGTGCACGTGTAGAGTAGAATGCAGATGTTCACTTCGATATCTTCCGGAACCCCCCCTTCCCCCCAAATATCCCTCTCTTTAGTGCTAATTCTTGGACGACCACTGGCTCCTCTACCAGAGTAGCTACCCTCGCACTTCTTGGGCCGGGACTAGTGTCTCATACTTTATTCCAGTACACGGATGGGGGCTATATTCACCGTACTGAGGATAGTGTCTTCTGACTCCTGGTGATCACTGACCAATGTTGATGCCACTTGGTTGAGTCCCGACGGTTGTGTTCTCAGCAAATGTTTCTTGGTCTGATTATGTGCTCAGTTCAACTTCTTCTGGGAGTTTCCGGCCCAGAAGCACTAATTGATTGGAAGCATGTCATATTCAATTGGGCATATTGCGGTTAAGGTCAATCACTGGTCCGTACTCGTCATCGACATATTGCAGCTCATAGATTTTTGTCTCAATGAGCTTGGACACTCGTCCTAGTTCCAGGCTTTTGGGATGACATTATTGTGTATCATCATACATCTCCAAATCTTCCTATAACTGTATGATCATGAGCAAGAATGTCCTTCATTACTTTCCGAACAATACCTCTCGGCTTCTGTCGTCTTGTGTTGTATGAATGCCAGGTATTCAGAATTTTTAGTTAATTCATAAGGTACTTAAGTTAGTGGTAGTCTGTCTAATGCAGGGTGCGTCACTTGTAAATGCTTTTTCCCTCCCTAGGTACTAAGGTAGGTAATGTTGTTTATATGATTCAGGGTAGCTTCTGTTAATATCCGCACATGATTAAGCCAAATGAATTCTGAATTCCCGGACCTTCTCATGCATCGCATGTTCGCTACTGGGATAACTACCTATGCTAATATATTCTGTGATTGCTACGTGGTACTTGCTACAGGAAACTGTTCAGCTCGGTTTTCAGGTTAGATACTGGTTTGAAATAAGCTGTCTTTTTAAAGGTAATGTAACACAACTCAGGTATATCGTAGTAGCTCTTGAGACATACGATTAAAATCAAATGACTTGAGTAAAAGCTCTATTTTTTATGACTTTTAAGATCGTGGTTTTTTAATTTAAAAATACTTACTGTGGAGTTATATGTAAATAACTCTAATGATTGACATGAGAGGAACTTGAGTTATGGCATTATTATTAACAATAACAAAAATCAGTCTCAAGTCCCGAATAATGCAAAGGAAAATATCTGGCCAGAGTACCTAATATTGGAAAGCTAGAGTCTAGAGCATAGAGAGGATGGATATTGAATGAAAGTAAATGTTCCTGTTCAAGCATGATCGGGCTTGGTTTAGGGTAACTAGAACTGGAGTCATGCATGTTATGTCAGCACTATCAACGCTTGGACCGCTTTCCCCAGACACATCGTAGTGAATCCATCCTTGATTCTTCGAATGTCCATGGAACCGATCACCGATCTGCTTAAAGCCTCAATGAATTCATTGGCTTGCTCAAGGTCGGGTAATATTCATGACAACTGTTGTGATGACCAGAAGTTTCCGTGGCCCTCAGAAGTCAAGGGCTGCATTGTGTTTACGCTCCCGAATTGGTTGGAAGCTTCCACCATGATCCACCACTGTCCAGCAGCTTCATGCAACCACGAGCAGCCAACAGACTCGCGATGCCACCTAATTTCGTACGATTTTGATGTAAACATCACGTAGTAGTCCTCGCACAAGGTTTGCCAATGCTTCCATAGTCCTCTTCTGCAGTCGTACGGTTTCTAGAACCTCCAAGTAGTAAGTTCCGTCGACCTTTCACGAAAGGCAAGGAAACTTCCATCTCGATCACATCTTCCTCGTCAACGAGTATAAAGCAAGCGTTCTCCCCCCCTAAAACTAGACTCCAATCTTCATCAGAACACAAGGAAACAAACACAAGCAACAATCTCTACAACAACGATCACAACACTATAACTCTCTTGCACACTGCAACCATCTCTTTCTCATACACACACACTCTTAACAAACATCAACGCAAAACACAATGGCTTTCTTCCCTCGCAACTTCTACAACTCCGATGCTTCCTTTACTCCCCTCTTCCGTCTCCTCGACGACTTCGATAGCTACTCTCGTCAGGGACAACAGACCGGTGGTACCCGTCGAAGCGGCCTCACCCACTGGCAGCCCAAGTTCGATGTCCGCGAGACTGGCGAGGCCTACGAGCTCCATGGAGAGCTCCCCGGCATGTCCAAGGAGAACGTCCAAATCGAATTCACTGAGCCTCAGACCATGACCATCCGCGGCAAGACTGAGCGCACATACACTGCCGGCACTCCTCCCGCTGGTCTCGTCGAGGGCTCTCAGTCCCAAGGCGCTATTGCCGAGGGCGAGAGTAACGATGAGACCAAGAACTCTCACCACGCCAAGGTCGAGGATGAGGCCGAGGCCAAGGCTCACGAGAGCACCGAAGTCACCCACCACCAACAGTCCAAGGAGGTCGAGAAGAAGCCCGGTGATCAATCCAAGTACTGGCTCACCGAGCGCACCTTCGGCGAGTTCTCTCGCAGCTTCAACTTCCCCACTCGTGTCGATCAGGACAACGTCTCTGCCAAGTTTAAGGATGGCATCCTGAGCATTGTTGTTCCCAAGGCCAAGAAGCACGAGTCTCGCCGAATCAACGTCGAGTAAACTCGACTACACACCACAACCCCGGAATCTTGACAACGTCATTATTCAGCTCTCGGATTTCACGACAAGTCAAGATCAGTAATGACTCATCTTTACGACTTTAGCATTGCATGGATCGGTGTTTGGAAGTTTCTTAGCATGATAGCATTGTAGGCCTGACGTGGCCATTCGCTCCTTGTACAATAGCAACTAATAATTCAATTGCTTTTACAAACAAATTCTAAGTCTTAATGGAAAAAATTAAGTGACGTATCCCGCAGTATTTATTTGTCCGTGACAGTATATTTACTGTGATATCTACGAAGTTGTTCACTCCTTAACACTGTGATAGTATTACACCTAAACTACGTCCTCCTGAAGATCTATATCCCAAATGACAGAATAAACCTGAAGGCGTCAGAAGGATTCTGGTACTTAATGAAATTGCCGAAAATTACAATCCCAAGCATCCGTTGGTTTACTGCTATTGCGGAATAAATGCTCTTATATCAATCAAGACAGCCAGATAAACAGGGGCCCCATGGTCAGCAGATAGATAAAATATGAAAGTCACAAAGTCAGATTATACGATTGTGAAAGAACATGATATCATATCAATCCAATTAAGAAACTCTACTCCGTACATCATCTGTAAATAATTCAGAACGATTGAAAGACAAATGGCCATCCGCTGACAAATTAAAACACCCCAATTCCGTTGACCGATTAAATGTGGACCGTCATGTAATTTGTCAACTAGCGACACGTGATTTGGCGTAGAATGGTGGCGTTGTTGCCTCCCACTAAGGCACTAGGTAGACGCGACCGCGATTTCCTCCTTCCCTCCCGTCCTCGCCCATTTCTTACAAATTTCTAGTTCACAGTACAGTCTGTGATTCCCTTGTCCTTTTTGACCGATAGCATCCAAGAAAAGGATTCGAGAATCATAATGAGCGAGGAGTATGATGAGGCTCAGATGGGTGAAGAGGGCGGCATGCCTGGCCCTGGTGCTCCAACGCCACTCTCCGCGCTCGAGGTAAACTTCTGTCGAAACTCAATTGTGATGAAAGTTGATGCTGATTGATTCTTACAGGGAATTGCTGGTTTGACGAAGCGAGATATTCAGCTTGTCATTGATGGAGGCTACAACACAGTCGAGTCCGTGGCCTACACGCCGCGACGAGTGCTGGAACAGATCAAGGGTATCTCGGAACAGAAGGCGACCAAGATCTTGGGAGAGGGTAAGAGACTATCGGATCGAATTTATCGGGGAAGACCACTGACAGTATCGCAGCCTCCAAGCTCGTCCCCATGGGTTTCACCACGGCCACAGAGATGCATCAACGTCGCAGCGAGCTCATTTCTATTACCACTGGATCCAAGAACCTCGATACTCTTCTTGCTGGTGGCATCGAAACAGGTTCGGTTACTGAATTGTTTGGTGAATTCAGAACCGGAAAGAGTCAGATCTGCCACACGCTCGCCGTGACTTGTCAACTACCCTTTGATATGGGCGGTGGCGAAGGGAAATGCATGTACATCGATACCGAGGGTACATTCCGACCAGTTCGTCTACTGGGCGTTGCCAACCGATTTGGCCTTTCTGGCGAAGAGGTCTTGGACAATGTCGCGTACGCACGCGCTTACAACTCTGATCACCAGCTTCAATTACTCAACCAAGCTGCAGCTATGATGTGTGAGACCAGATTTTCCCTTCTCATCGTCGATAGTGCAACATCGCTCTACCGAACAGACTTTTGCGGTCGCGGTGAGCTCTCGAATCGACAGACTCACTTGGCCAGATTCATGAGGACGCTTCAGCGTCTGGCGGATGAATTTGGTATCGCAGTTGTCATTACAAACCAAGTCGTGGCTCAGGTCGATGGTGGCCCAAGTGCCATGTTCAATCCTGATCCAAAGAAGCCCATTGGTGGTAACATTATCGCCCATGCCAGTACAACAAGAATCAGTCTCAAGAAGGGTCGTGCGGAAACACGTATTGCCAAAATTTACGACAGCCCATGCCTGCCAGAAAGTGATACTCTGTTTGCCATTGGCGAGGAGGGTATTGGTGACCCGGCCCCAAAGGACATGGAGAAGGATTAGACTATAGCGGATGACCTGGCATGTTTGTACGATCCCTGGAGTATATGGTGATGATTCTTGGTATGATTGCTGGCGCATGTCTTAATGGTTCATGTGTTTTTTGCGATGGATGTTACTTAAATGTTAGAGGATAGGGTGGTTGGGTTGTTCAGCTGGAATTCTCTATACCTAATGAAAAGAGTTTCTTTGGAGCAAATCGCCTCAAAGAAAGAAATGAAATTGACACATGAACAACAATCTGTAACTTTGATGCATCCAATCTTTTCTTCTGTGTACCTTAAGTCTTATGTTGGCAGCAATGCAGTGACCAATAGCTGATTACCTTTTTAGGTTAGCGTGGGTCGCGACCTCTGCCAGAAATTCTACTACGCGATTTCGCTTTGTTAACAACCTTAGGTATCCATCATCACATACAACTCAACGCCTAGTACTCGAATTCATCTCGTCACGCTCGACTCGATTCATGGGGCGATAATGGATCAAGTCGATACCCAATATCTCTTCAAAGAGACAAGAGTGAACCTCGATCCCCCAACTTCGTCTTCTGTTGTCACGATCCGAGTACCCTCGAATTCAATACAGAGCCGCAATTTTCGAAAACCGGCGCGCGAGAACACAGCAGAAGATGAGACGACATTTCGAACGAAGAACCTAGCGACAGCCTCTTCTGTTTATCACCGAATTTGGCATGACACACCACGTAGCTTCCTTTGGAGGATTTTGGAGGATGGCACTCTCCTCAGCATACGGGCTGTTGATATTTGCAAGAAGACACAAGCGACCGATTCCCCGCTTGTCTTGAACTTCCACTTCTCAGTCCCTATTCAGCCAGGATGCGTCACATTTTCGGACCCCGAAGAGCACGATTCCCTCTGTGTTTTTGTTCTCGACCAAGCATATCAGCTGTATAGCTTCACGCTCCGGCCAGATTTATTCAGGAAGAGATCGGCCGTTGATGCTGGACTTTCTGACCTCGGCAAGGTCCAAGCGCCGGCAGGATTGGGTTTCAAGCATCCTCATCGTATGATTGCTGTGAACGCGGAGACACTGCTGATTACGGTCAACGATGGAGGAATGATCAGGCTTGACAAGAACAAAGCTCATGAACGTGAGTATTATCGGGCTAGTGATGTCAAGACGTGCCAATGCTAATTCTTGCAGCATCGTCACTTGTCTGGAAGGAATCGTTCTTCAACGTTCAGGGATGGGCGCAGAATCTCCGAAGTCTTCTTCCTTTCCAGGGAAAACACACGATCAAGAACGGCAAGATCAATATGGAATACAGCTCAGCCACGTCGATTCAGATCACAAGTTTCGGAATGGATGATAGTCTCTTTGCGATCACAGTCTGTCTCGATCACAGAATGCGAATTTGGAACATTAATGATGGCCAAATTCTTTATACAGGCGATATTCTCAATGCTGAGAGGAACCCTCAGGAGATTGGAAAGTGGGCTATTGATCCATCACAGACGAACCTAGTACAGATTGTTGGAAGGGGCCGCAGTAGTAGGATATGCGCAACCTTCTCTCCCATCGGCGCTGGAGAGTTTAAGTTCTGGAAGATCATCGCCAAGGACGCGCATACCGTCATCGTCGAAGACATTTTCCCCAAAAACGCCTTGGTTCCACTGACGCCATCATCCTCCGATGTGTGGACACTTGCTGATTTCGCGCTCTCTTGTCCTGCAGAGAGCGCTATCCAACTCTGGACCCTGTGGAAGAACAACATGACGTATAGGGTGCAAAGGCTCGAAGTGGATCGTAAGAATATCTCACAGAGCTGGGAGGAGAACTGGGATGGCGTCTATGCAGATAACCTCATACAGGCTGCAGAGACTTCTGGCCCCTGCGATCCTACTGATGTTACAGAGAAGTGGCTCCAGCTTATCCTGAAGCCTGGTCAGTTTACGAAATCGACCCTAGAGGCCGCATTATCGATTTATGAGCGAGGCTATGGAAAATCAGAGACTACTGCCAAGGCTCGAGGGTTGGCAGAGTCGATTTGTTCGATATTAGGGGCTGCTGCAACGCTAGATCGAGGCTCTTCGGGCGCTATGGACTACGAATCCTTCCGCGCTTCCAGTGAGGCCCAGTGGATGAGGTTCTACCGCCTGTTGCTCGAATTGGACAAGCAACGAGGAGAAGCACTCGGGTTGACACTCGACCCCTCTACAGGAATGACTTGGGTTGTCTGCGCCGACTTCCTTTCAGCTATTCGCGAGTGCAGCAGCTTGGAGCGACTGTACCATAACCTCACTTCTCCTGAGGAAGACCATCTTGCACAAACGGCTCTAGTCAATGCAGCTTTGAACTTGGTTGCCGGGTTGCCTGATCACCTGATGCCGCTCTGCCATGCTGCACTACGACCCGAGCTGTTTGAGGACTCTTCCAAGACAGACCTCGAGCGCATTTCATGTTTCTACGACAAATCTGGATCTTGGCAAGGCATCACTGAAGATGACTGCAGCCAAGTTGTCGATGTTCTTGGCCCAAACTTTAACATAGTGACAGACGAGCTTTACACCGATGTGATGAATCTAATCTCTGCACCAGAGGAAGCCAAGTCACGGAACTTACGTCACCCACTTACCGACTTTGGCAGGAAACTGGTTGTCAAAGCCGTTCAAGATAGTATTGAGTTGCAGCGGAAGGTCTACTTCAGCCAGTTGATTCTTCTCGTCCACATGGAGTATGAGCACGACAACGAGGCAGAGGCTCTTCACAATCGTGTTGATATTGGCAACGTATTCAGACAGCTCGTCGTAGCCCTGCGACGTTTGGAGCTACTGAAGTGGCTCGCCCAGACAGAAATCTCAGTGCCAGGCACCCGAGAAAAGAGTGAGAGCGGAGCTGTGAAGAAGAGCTCTGAGGACGCTCAACTCGTAACGGCACTGGAGGCGCATGTTGGTCACCTGCTTGGTTTCGCGAACCAGACCGAGCCACTGGCTACCAGTGTCACAGATCTCGTCACCAACTTGTGCGCTCCGGACAGCGATATCGAAATTTCACCACCACTTGTTCAGTGCTCTCTTATCAAACGAGAGAGGGCTGATTTGGCACTGGATCTTGCGCCTTTCTGCGACCAAAACCCCTTCTCCACATATGTTCAGGGCCGTTTGCAGCTGGCTTTGAAGGATTTTAATACCGCTGCAATTATCTTTAGAAGAGCAGCCATTGGAATGAGTAAGTCCTTCCGATTTCGTTACGGATCCCTCACTAACAGATAGCTAGGCGCTGGAAATGCCGGAAGCGACCGCCATAGTAGCGGCCTGCTTGATGACACAGAATGGAACCTCCTGTACCAAGGCCTTGCAAAGTACTATTCGCACATTGTAGCTTTGTTCGAGAAGCAGAAAGCCTACTCTTATGTGGTCGATTTCGCCCGCCTGGCCATACAGTTCCTGGGTACTAAGCAGGACGCTATGTTCACCAAGACTGACATGCAAAGTCGCTTGTTCAACGCTGCAGTAGCAACATCGCAATTCGAGCTCGCACACACAACATTGGTCTCGATTAAGGATCAAGCCATGAAGATCTCAAATCTGCGCAAGCTGATTGATAGAATGTGTGCGACTTATCACAATAACGAGCTCGTTGCTCTCCCTTTCCCTGGTCTCCAGCAGGAGGTTGACGAGATCCTTGCTCAGAAGACAAAAGCATCATTGGATGTTATAGAAGGATTCCCCTATCACCAGGTCCTCTACTCATGGCGTATTAAGCACAATAACTACCGTGGTGCCGCGTCGGTTGTTTTAGACAGAATACACAAGCTGCAAAGCGCTGGAGAGGGAGATGAGGCTACGGGAGAAGACATCCTCGATACACCGGTGACAAGGCAATACCTGCTGCTCATCAACGCTCTCAGCTGTGTAGAACCCAAGCAGGCTTGGATTTATGATGAGGCCTCAGTTGGCTTTGGACAGAAAGATGCAGGAAAGCGCAAGGTGGTGTCATTGGCCGATATTCGCAAGCAGTATCAGGATGAGCTGGACCGAATCGCAGCGATTCACAACAATCAATTTGGCTTCGAAGCGGACGACGTAATGGAAATTGCATGAATGCAGAAATAAGACAGGTCACTTTATGTAGACTAGAGGTGTATTGTTTCAAAACTCGGACGGGCGAAATACCCAGGACATATTATCGGGACTGTTTACGGTGTATGTATTAGTTTGATTTGCAGAGGAAACAGAAACTACAAATCTTCCATCATCTTGCTCTTCCAGCCTTGAAACCCGAAACGCCAGGACCCGATGCTAAAAGGACGCGCATGAAGTTGACATGGTATGTACATCAGACCAACAGCCAGGTTCTTCTAATCTATCTTTATGCCTGTGCAGCAGCCAACTTGTTCTCTGGGGGCGCAGGTAGTGATGAGGTACCGGCATTTAGAACAGGTGCAGCGTCAGGAGCTTGGCGATAGAGAATAATCTCAGATTGCTTGAAGTATCGTCGAGCATCTGTGAACGTTGTTAGTTGAGTGACTGAGAGACATGGGATTGGGTGGGGGCTTGGCTGACCCTCGTCGATGAGAACTAAGCTGAGGTAGTAACGCGTGGAGAACTTTTTGTTAACGTCGCGGAATGTAGGTGTTAGATCGAAACCGCCGAGGAATAGTCGAATAGGAATTGTCTCTCCTCGCGACGGGGAACCGTCCATGATCTCGAAGCGCACCAAGGTTTCACTTTCATTATACTGATTAGGAGCAGCGCCCGTCGTCTCTCTTCTGATGATGGACAGCTCCATGTGCTTGATCTTGAGGCGCACTAGCAAAAAGTAGATGCGCCCAACAATGACATCCTTGAGGTGGTATTTGCTCTTGCTGTACTCGAACTCAATGTGTAGACAGTCCTCGATACCAACATCCATCTTAATGCTGCTGTTCATCTCAGGGGGTATGCGATAGCTGTAGACCCAGATATCCTTTTCCCGGATGACATCGGCCATGCGGCGTGAAACGGTGACGCGGACGAAGTAGCGCAGCTTAACGTTGATGCCATTGTATGATTCGTACTGCTTTTCAACGTTTTTGAAGTTGAAGTCGAATGTTTGTGGGTGCTGAAGCTCGCCAGGCGCAGCGAGTTCCTGGTTGAGGGAGAGAAATTCGTAGTGGTTGCCGCGATCGAAGAACATTTCTTTGCGAGAGGTCAGTAACTGAGGTAGCTTGCCAAGCGTGTGAGAGCGTCAGGGAGGCATTGCGATGTATAGGGGTCGCGAACCTATCGTGCCGATGAACTGGACCTTGATGCCAGTATGCTCGAGCCTCTTGCCATCCTTTGGACGAACAGTGACAGCGCCCTTCACAGACTCGCCATCCATAAAGAGAGGCGCCTTCTCGCGACGGTTCTTGTCTAGCTTGACATCGACCATAGAACGCTCATCTGTATCATCGAGGACGACGTCGATATCGACGGGAGTCGCGAAGAAGTACGACATGGCGGGCGGTTTTGTATGCCGTATACCTCTTGGCCCAAGTGCTTTGTTGATAAGTGAGATGAGGCTATGGCGCAAGCTTTATGATAGTGGGATGGCTGGGCTGGGCTGAGCTGGACCGAGCTGTTGAGGAGAGTCGGCGCTGACGTCGGCCGGGGAGACAGGGGACCGATCAAGACCCACCGAGCTTGCCGCCGTTACCAGTACCTTAACCAGGCCGAACGAGTTGATGAGACATGAATGGGATCTGAGTTCAACATGAATTTAGATAAGAAAAGAACAAATGATTTACTGAGACTTTTATTTATTGCTTTTCTTATAGTGTCGGTATGTTTTTCTACATAATTACAGATAATATGCTTATAGAACTGGTGTTCTTCGTGGTCAATAGATCTTATTGGCTCACAGCTTCCATACTGATCACGTGAAGTATCCACCGCGATCGCTCACGTGGAAAGAGAAAGCCCTACGCACTTTCCATGTTCTTCCCGCACAAGAACTCAGAATTTGTTTCGCCTGTATCCCTCAACACCGATATCAACTCACAGCCGGCAGGATGAAGTACATTCATTCCCAGGAGCTCCTTGAGATCCCCGAGGGGGGTACGTTGCGCCCTATTTCATTTTCAAGTCTGATATCGTCGTCGTCGCTCGAATAATTTGGGTATCGGTCCCCTCGAAAAATTGCTAGAGCTATTCGCAAATGGGGGCTGCACAAGAGCACCAACAATAAACTGCGCTCACAATGGGCACTCTGGCAATTTCCGAGGGGATTATCCACGAGCGTCGAAACGAGAATCTCCAACTCACAGGACGGAAACACTGACTCGTTTTCTCTATATAGTCAAGGTCAGCATTAAGTCGCGAATTGTCACCGTTGAGGGCCCCCGCGGCAAGCTGGTCAAGGATCTCAGCCACCTGGCTGTCAACTTCACCGTCCCCAAGAAGAACCAGATCTCCATCGAGATTCACCACGGTGTCCGCAAGAATGTCGCTACCCTCCGAACTGTACGAACCCTCATCAACAACCTGATCATTGGTGTCACCAAGGGCTTCAAGTACAAGATGCGATACGTCTACGCCCATTTCCCCATCAACGTCAACGTCTCCAAGAACGCCGAGACCGACCTGTACGAGGTTGAGATCCGAAACTTCATCGGCGAGAAGCTTGTTCGCCGAATTGTCATGCAGCCTGGTGTCGATGTTGAGGCTTCCACCACCCAGAAGGATGAGCTCGTCCTCTCTGGTAACTCTCTGGAGAACGTGTCGCAAAGTGCCGCCGATATCCAGCAGATCTGCCGGGTGCGAAACAAGGATATCCGAAAGGTAGGACATAGCATCACACTGTCTCTCTTCTCGACTCTAACTGATTGGCCTAGTTCCTTGACGGTCTGTACGTCTCCGAGAAGGGCAACATTGTCCAGGACGAATAAGCGCGGGTACGGACACGGATCTTGTTTCTTTTGCGTTTCTGGGTCTCAGGAGTGGCGAAGGGTTCATCGTTGCATGTCATGTAGCAAAAAAAGGGCTACAAAACAAATTTCAAAAAAGCAAAGAGATGATGACTCTGGTGCCGACAAACACTTGAATCTCGCCAACGAATCGAATCGCATCTGTTCATTCGTGTATGTGACCATTTTAGGAGCAAAAAAGGGCCGGCTTTTAGACGAGGGTTCGTTTCGGGTGTTTTGCGATGAGAAGAAAAAAAGGCGTTTAATCATTTTCCAATGCGCACATAATCTGTGCCTGGGAACTCCCACAGCGTTTTTTCTGTCGACCGTGAAGTCGGCCCAGCAAGATCTATTCTATCCAACTCACTGAATGATAAAATGAGTCGATGCATCATGATTTCAGGACTTTGATCCACACATCAATGGCTGTCTTTGATTGATGGGGGAGAGATTATGATCAAAAGTTGCATGTGAAAAATGAGGCTCGCATTTACACTAAGACGTGCCTCGTCAGTATATTCATCTTTTATATCAAACTCGTAATTTTCCTTCTTGACTTTCATTGTGAGTCATTTCATCTAGTCTTCCTTTCAATTCACTTCGTGACGTGATCTCTTGAGTAACAAAAAGCAGCAGCATTAACCATCCATGAATGCGTGGGTAAAATAACAACATCAATGATGAAATGGGGTGAACGGGGAAAAGGAAAAAAAAAAAGCAGAGGCCGCAAAAGTAACAACAGAATACCATAATATGTGAACAACCAGGAACGCCAGTAGCCTTGATGTGTGAAGCGACAAGTCGAGTGTGTACAATGTGGGCTCGAATCCTTATGTCAAATGCAGAGACATGTACAGGATGGGGAGTATATGTGTGACGAATGGGGATAAAAGGTTGAGGAGCGGGGATTTAAAGGCTTCATCGCCGGCTGTCGCGGGAGTAATACGACCTCGCTCGGCTGTCTCTTGTGCGACGAGTGCGGTTCGTTCGTCCACCTGAGCTTGAGCTGCCTGCTGTGACTGTTAGTACGACAAGGCGATGGGATCGGTTGTCAGCGAGACTTACTGGGACTGGTGTAGTCACTGTATGAGTAATAAGAGTCGCTATACCGCGATCGTGATGATCCTCGAGATGAGCGCGCGGGCTTGGTGCTCGCAGGTCGCTTATCCTTCTTGAGATTGAGGAGAGCAAGGAGCGTGGCCGCGAGACCAGCAATACCGAGCCACTTCTTACCATCTGACTTCTTCTCACGACGATCACCGGCCGAAGACGGGGAACCACGGCGACCCATACCAAACCAGCCCTTGTGTCGAGGACGACGGGAGTGGGCCGAGGCCGAAGGAGGTGGTCGGCTGCCGTGGCGGGAGTATCGCTCCTCGTAGACATCGACACGCTCGCTCTTCTCTTTGTCCTTCTTGCCGAAGAGGGCAACCCAGAGACCACGGGCAATACAGCAGAAGCACAGGAGAAGGAGAAGCGCAACACCAGCGATGACGCCAATGACGATACCAGCAATGGCACCGGCACTCAGGCCCCCACCACCAGTTCCGGTCTCGCCAGCTGCGGCGCCCTCGCTAGTCTCGGTGGCCGTTGCAGAAGCCTCGGATTCAGTCTCAGTTGCAGTCTCGGACTCGGTGGGCGCACCGCTGTTTGTGATGGTGGTGGTACCAGTGACTCGATAAGGCGCCGAGTATTGGGTGGTGATCTTTCCATCAGTGGTAATCACAACAGCGGTGGGCTCTTCGTAACCAGGCTTTGCAGAGCATTGACCCATGAACGCGCAAGTCTGCCAGCCAGCGCAGCAGATCTCACCACATGCTTCTTGCTCATCGTTTTTGGGCACACAGTCAACGCCTTTTGTAGGCTCCGGAGCAGGCTCCCAGCGAGTCATGATTGTGCTGGTGTAAGTTCTGGTCTCGGTCCAGGTAGTCGTATAATCGCCGACCCAGCCTCCCTTTGCAGCGACGCAGCTTGCGACTCCATTTGATGTTTGGCAGCTCTCGCCAGAGCCACAGCAGTATTGACTATCGGAGCCACAGGGTGAGTCGCATGCTCGTTGCAAGAGATATGAGTAGCCGCGCTCATGAAGACCATCTCTGGGGAGCGGCTTGGCAGAGCAGAGAGCTGCCGCGGCGAGGAGCAGCAGCGGCCTCGTCACGGAGCGCATTGTAGCGAAAGTTTTCTGGTTGTGGTCGTCACTTTTATTGAATGGTTGACTATTGGCGCAAAGCCGAGGTCGGAATGATGATGTTTGAGGCCAATTCCAGTCAGAGCTTGTGCTAGTTTCGAATTGAGCTGAGTGCACAAGGTGAGGAATTTGATCTGGGTAAGAACCGAGACTGGTTGCGAGATTTTATCTGAGTCCCTTGTGAAACAGTTCAGCTTAGCTTAGCTTCTGGAATGCGGGAGATGCGGCTGCGTTGTCGCGGGGAAGTATTGTTGGTGCCCGAGATGGAACTGGAACTGGAGGTGAGTGAAGGTCGCTGTGAGATGCGGATGAGTGAGCGGCTAAGTAAGGTTTGGTGGTGAAGTTCCGAGGGAAAAAGAAACTTCCAAGAGTTAGTCAGAGATCAATTACAAGCAGGAAAAAAAGCAGACGAGAAACGGCAACGTTGAATTCTGGGCGCTGCACCAAGAGTTTTAAGCGGCTGGTGGTGGGCTGCAACGAAAGGCTTCCTCTTGAGTCCCAACCTCCCACTTACAACCAAGGTCTATACCAGCCTCTCCGATTTACCTAGAAGGGCACTTTGACACACGCACGCGCTCATCCGAAATAAGGGGACCTGGTCCACACGCCAACAAATCAGTCTCTTTAACTCGATGCAACGTTTTAAGGGGAAACACTCAGTCCTCTTTTTTGCCTTGCGAACTCTCGATCTCTTGTCTTTGTCGGTGAGGATGGATGGGTGACTTGAGACTTGGAATACGATGCACGTCAATGGTGGGGTGCCAGCTCATGATACCTCCAACTACCACGCCTGTGCTCGCTCACTGGACAACTATCGATGGCCGGAGCCCCAAGCAGTGCTCACCCCCTGTAGGCCCGTGTCTGCGGCCCTGGAGCTAGGCCTCGTACATTAGGTACAGCGGGTAAATGTCATCACCACCACTTACACGCCCGGGCCACCCCGGAATAGCAGATCACGTATCATGAGAGTGAAAGCCGTTTGCATGCTGCATATTTTAATTAAACTGCCAGGGGCAATCGCAACGTCCTTGCAAGCCTAGACCTGTGTTTGGCTCTTCCCATTGGCGGTGTTGGAAAGAGTAGAGCCCTTAGGCAGGGAAACAAAACTCGGAGGCTGGGAAGGCATTTTTCAGGGATTAATTCCAGGTCGGTGTCGGTCTGGGCTCCCGACTCAATCGTGCCGTCAGAGAACACGCCAGGGTCACAGCCACACTTTATCAACAGCCACGTTTGTCTGGCAAACTCTTAGAATCTTAATATGTGGCGCAAAGTGTGGCACCAAGTGTGGCAGCTGTGGCTACCCTACCCAAGCTTAGGTGCCCCAAGCTTGACCTGTGACGCTCCGCGCGGTTCAAGATCAAGTTG